AGAACTTATCGCTACAGTGTAGACGGTAGAGAGGAGCTGTCTACACTAAGAGGCAGCAGAGAACTTATCCCTACCGTGTAGACGGTAGAGAGGAGCTGTCTACACTTAGGCCTCCAGTTCTATATGGGCAGTAGGAAGCGTTTTCACTCCATGGTGCCCTGGTTGTTTAGGTCTTATGAAAAGGGACACTTGGGTGGACTCGATGTTTACGTGGACATTCGTTCCTTATTGTCAGATACATTTTACAGTTTATTTCTTCTTGAAGCCAGGTGGTGGTGGTGCACACCTTTAATCCCAGGACTTTGGAAGGCAGAGAGGGTGAATCTCTGTGAGTTCAAGGTCAGCCTGGTCTACAGACTGAGTTCTAGGATAGGCCCCAAAGCTACAGAGAAATTCTGTCTCGAAAAAAGAGTGGGAAAAAACAGAATAAAAAGTTATTTCTACTTGGGACTGTATCTCTATCAGATGTCATGAGTCACTAAGGCCCAGACTAGATGGCCTGAGCTGCTCATTAAAGAAAATCTCTTCAGTGCTATCACGACACCCTAAGACAGACCGCAGCCAGGGCTTGTTAAGCTGAATTCTTCCTCTTTTAAAATTTAGTTTTATTTTTCTTTGTGTAGAGGTCAGAGAATACAGTTGTGATTGATCCTCAAGTTCCATTGTATTTGAGACAGTGTCTTGTTTCTTTTTAACTGTGTACACCAGGCTAGCTCGCCCATGAGTCTGTATGGGGAGGGCTGGGATTGCAGGTGTGTGCCGGGGAGCAAACGCAGGGCCTCACGATTGCATGGCAAGGCTGTACCAACTCTGCACTCTTCTAGCCCCAGATGTAACTCTTTCTGACCCTGTTCAGAGGGCAGCAGCCTTGCTTGAGCCGAGCCCTGTGCAGTCGCCCGTCACAGAACCACATCCACACCACCTAAACACAAGGCTCAAGATGGAGGCCATCTTCTGGAACTGCTGCAGGGCTAGGAGCCCTTGCTGGCAGTGCTGATGTGCCATAGAGTCATGAGACCACAGGGCAGCGGACATTCTGGAAAGGGAGGTGGGGTTGCTGCTGAAGGAGACCGGAGGTCAGAAGACGACAAAAGGTCAGGAGGTCCTGGGTGGCAGGAGGGGGCATCGGTGCTGTAGTGACTGCTGCCCTGAGGTGGCACCAGCTGGAGCTGAGGCCTAGAATCGGGAAGACGTTGATTTCCCAGGAGCTTGAGTAAGCAGCGACCAAAGACACGAAAGAGAATAAACACAGAAAGGGTTTATGAGGACTGCAAGGAGTCCCAGCCAGGAGGCCGAGACGTCCGAGTTAGACAAGGACAGTTGTTGTGTTTCTGACTGGAGTGGGGGAGGGGGGGAGGAGAAACATCTGA